GAGCAGCTGCGGGCGCCGCTGCAGGCGCAGCCGCCCCCGGGCGCCGCGCCGCTCAGCGCGCCCATGGCGGCGGCGGCAGCGCCGAACCGGAGCACGACATCGCCGCCCGCGCCGCCCCAGCCTCCGCAGCTGCATCCGAGCGCGCCGCCGCCGCCGACGGCGCCCGGCCAGCCATCAACCCCGCCAAACGCCGCGCCCCCGCCGTCCGCCCCCTCGAGGCGCAGGGGGGAGGGCATCCTCAGCGGCTCCGCCTCGCGGCCGGCCCACGCGTCGAAATCGAGGACGCGCCGCACGTTCCTGCCGAGCCCCTTGTCATCTCTCCGTGGCGCGGCGACCGCGGCCCCCTGCAGCGCCCACTGCGCGCCCAGGCCGGCCATCCCCTGGAAGGGGCCCGGCCAGCTGCAGGCAGCAGGGGCGCCGCTGCCGCCGCTGCCGCCGCCGCCGCCACCGCCGCCGCAGTCTCGGCCGAGTATCCTGGCAAAGGCGGACGCCTCAGCGCAGCCGCCGCGCGGCGCGGCCGCCGCCGCTGCGCCGACGCCGACGCCGCTGACGAACAGCGCGGTCAGCGCTGTCAGCGCCGACAGCGGCCGCAGGTCCGCCCCACTCATCTGCTGCTGCTGGTCCCCTGGCGGCCCCTGCGGAAGCACATCCCCGGTCCAGGCCCCGCCCCGCCCCGCCGCCTGCGCCGAGCGTCCGCCGAGAAGCTGGCTCACGCCCCTGCCGCCGCCGTCACCGCTGCCGCCGCCGCCGCTGCCGATGCCCCAGCCGCTGTCCTCTGGAACTATCTGGCACTGCGACAGGTCAAGGTGCTGCAGCACCGGCGGGAGGCTGCGCAGCAGCCGCCGCATCGCGCCGCGCGTCAGGCTCGCGCCGCGCATGTCCAGACGCTGCACCTGCGGCGGCAGCTGCCACGCGTCCGCCTGGTAGCTGCCCGAGCTCGCTGCGGACGAAGGGGTGTCCGCCCCTGCATGCGCCGAGGGCCCCGGCGCGCCGCCCTCGCCGCGCTGCGGCGGCTGCGCGCCGGGAGCGGCCGCTGCCGCGTGCTGCTGTTGCGCCGCGTGCCGCTGCGCCGCGGCGGGGCCGCGCTGCGTCCAGCCCGCGGCGCCGAGGGCCGTGAGCGCAGACAGCGCGGCGAGGCAGGCTAGGCCCTGCGCGCCGGGCGCCATGCAGCCGGCCAGGTCGAGGCGGCGCAGCGCGGGCAGGCGCGAGAGGTGGTGCAGGTGGCGCTCCTCGAGGCGCATGCAGTGGGACAGGTTCAGGTCCGCCAGGCGGGGCGCGCGGGACGGCAGGGACGCCAGGCAGGAGCCTGCGGGCGGTTTAAGGGCCAGGGGTGGGGTGGGGGGCAGCCGTTGGTTGACCGCTCCGGAGCATTATGTATGATACCTTGACGGGCGTGCAGGCCCTCGTCGCACATCGTACGACAAATCTCGAGCGACGGGTGCGTTTCGCCGGCGGCGCATACATGGGTGCAAGCACCCAGCGCCGGCGTGCAGCCAGCTCAGGGATTTAGGGTTTCGGGGTTGCGGCTGGTGGGGCCACCCACCCGTGATGCCGTTGCAGGTTTGCAGTGAGAGCTCCTCCAGCGCGGCCGCCCCCCTGAGCAGCGCCGCAATGTGGTGGTCCCCCAGCTGGCTGCAGCCGCGCAGGCTCAGGGCGCGGAGCGCGGGCAACCGGGAGACGGCCTGGAAAGGGGGCAGGCGGGCAAGGGGCACGGGTCAGCACGATCGTGGCAGCAGCTGCCGCGACCTCGGAGGAAGCCTGGCATGTATCTGCACATGCTCGTCACCTGCACGGAGTGGCTAACCAGGCGGGAGGGCCCCCTGGCGGCTGCCGTGGATACAGTATCCAGCCACCACCCGCTATCCCCGCGCACAGCTTCCGTGCAGCGTCCACGCACCTCCACCGCGCCGGCCGCAATCTTCATGCAGTTGTGCAGCACCAGCTCCCGCAGCGCCGCCAGCGCCGCCACGGGCGCCAGGCCCGCATCAGTCACCTCCAGGCAGCCGGACAGGTCCAGGTGGCGCAGCGCGGAAGGCGAGCAGGCGCGGAGGGCGGCGGCGACGGCGAGATCCGGGACAAACGACAGCGTCCGCGCGTCGCCCTGCTCGGGCGGGGGGCGGCGGGAGGGTGACGGCATGCGTGGTTGGCGCGCCCCCGCCAATGCTGCACAATTCAAGATGTTATGGGGCAGCCCTTGCGGAGCCCTCTCCTGTGCCCCTTTTGACTCTCCCTTCTGTTGATGCGTCACGAAGTACAGCGGGTGCTGTGGGTTGCGGAGGCGCCCGCGCCTCCTCAGATGGGCCAGACTGGGCCGACCTGCCAATGATCGACCGACCCAAAGCCCCCAAGCCAGCACGCCCCCCTGATTAGGGTTGAGGTTCTAGGGGCGGCTCTCGGCACCCACCAGCACGAGCCGCTGCAGCGTCGCTCCGCAGCCGGCGCCCAGCATGGCGGCCAGCGCGCCCGCGTCTGGGGGGCCGCAGGAGAGCCCCACCAGCTCCATGCTGGTCAGGCGCAGCGCCGTCCAGGAGCCCAGCACAGACCAACGCACCTGGGGGGGCCACGGGGGTCAGGGGTCAGCCGCGCGTCGGGCATGGAGCCGCGGGCGGCACTCAACACATTTGTTGTGCGTACCATTTGGCGCGTGGGCGCTTGTCGCTTGTATCGGATGCCTCGCTTCTGAAAGGGCAGGGGCAGGCGTCACCAATCACCCCAAGCGCGAGCCGCCTCCCACCTTGCGGCATCCGTGGACAGCCAGGCTCCTCAGCCGCGGCAGGCCTCCCACCGGGCCGAGCGCCTCGGCGCGCAGCGCCGCGCAGCCCGCGCCGCCGACGGCGAGCGAGGTGAGGCCCCGCAGGTGGCAGAGGGCGGTCGCGAGGTCTTCATCACGGATGGGGCGGGACAGGCGGGACAGGTCAAGGGCCTTGAGGGCGGCAAACCTGCTGCGCACGTTGCGTGGGGGAGCGGGCGGGGCTGGCTGGTGTGAGGGGCTTGAGCGGCAAGGAAATGCAGAGATGGGGTTTTGATGGAAGCCAGGCGGGCGGCGGCAGTGCGGGCGGGAGGCTTGGTAGGTAATGTCATGCGCGGCAGCTCAAGGTGGGATGTGCAGGGTTTTAGGGGTTGGTGGGGTATGTGTGGCGGCGCCTTACGCCACACGAATCCAACCGACTCGCTGCAGGCGCCGCCCCAGGTGGGGTGCCTCCCCCATGCAGGCATGCGCCGACGTCTTGTTGGCGCCCTGTTGCAGCACACACACCCTTCACGCCTCACGCAGTTGCCACAGGCGGTCGGGGCCTCACCCAGGCGCCAGGCAGAGTGCCAAGGGTGTCAGCGACGCCCTCACAAGGTCCACACTCGACCGCAGGCTGTGGCAAACGCATCGCAGCGCCGCTGCGTCCGCGGGGGACAAATATGCAGATACCGCATCTATGATATCTACGGAGTACAAAGCCATGCCGCGGGCTGCTTCCAGACACACGCGGCCAGCGATGCCTAGTCAACCTAATGTATGATGGATCTAGTGACTCCTTGGCGAACTGGAAGGCTGCAATACTAATGACATATAGAATTGAGCGCCCGGACTGCTAAATTGACGACTGATTCGCCGGCTATGCCGAAAGTGACGGCAAAAAGACCCCCGAGGCTCTTCCAGCTGTTGAAAGCACGGTATGTTGTGATAGAAAAACATCATAATTGCGGTCATTAACGGAACACTAATACTGAAACAACTTGATCTTGCTCGCAGCACTGTACACTTGTTGCTATGGGGATCTAGGAAGCGCATCTGTTGACCAGGTTATGAAACCCGGGTGCATTGATCCTGGATCATGGGCGTTGCTCTATTGCGCACAGTATGCCGAATCCGTCTCCCGAGCCCTTGTTTGTGTTGCGTGGCCATCGCGCGGACGTCCAATGTGTGCAATTCAACGAGGACGAGTCCTTGCTGTGGAGCGGGTGCGCGATCGGTGTGCGATGCTGGGCGGGTGACGCCGCAGTGCCCCGCTGCCGCTGCTGCTGTGCTGTGCTATGCCACGCCATGCTGTGCTGTGCTGCGCACGCCACATGTGCGCCTCATGTCATGAAGACAAGGCAGAAAACGCCTCCATGTTCCTCCTCACAGAGACGCCGATGGTGAGGTGCGATGCTGGAGATTGGAGGAGCGCCGCCCAGCGCTGTGCCGCAGGTGCGCTTTCTGCACTTGTCCATCCCGCAGGGGACACGGGCGCTGTTTGGGCACGCGTCCCCTCCCCCATCCCCGTGCTGAAGTATGCAATATAGGGCCCTCTATGTCACCCGGGGGTGCCCCTGCAATCCTCCCAGGCTGCACGAGGCCAACGCTGGAGTCCTGCAGCTGAGGGTGGCCCAGCTACCCGGCGCGACCCTGGTCTCGTGAGTGGCAGGGGCGCGGCCGCCTCTCCAAAAAGGGAGGCTGTCTGACACCTCTGGCTCAGGGAGGTCCAGCAGCCTGTTCGGTCGCCAGCGTTAGTGCTGGCACACCCCCACGCAGGCACGGCAGGCCCTGCCGCCCCGCCCTCGACGCCCGCCCTGTGCGGGTCTCCCTGCACCTCCCCGCCATCCAACCCCCGGTTGGCCCCCTGCCGCCCCCGGTGTCGCCCGCCGCCGCCGATCTGCAGGCAGGGGCGCGACGGGTCTGTGCGGTGCTGGGCGCTGCTGCCTGACGGCAGCCTCAGCAGGTGGGCCCCTGCCCTGCACCAGCGCCTGGAGGGTGCACGGTTCCTCCAGTGCTGTTGTGGATAGGCCAGGGCGGGAGGGTTGTCAACACATCAAGTGAAGGGCGCGCTTGCCCGCCACCCTCGTGCTCATGGCTTTCTTGTGTGCTGTCCTGAGGGCATCGCCGCCGCCCCTCCCAGGGAGCCGACAGCGGTGCTGGCGACAGGGGGCTTCAGCTTTTGCCGGTTCTCCCTACTGCAGCGGCCGCGCTCATGCGTCGGCACAGAGGCCCCGCACGGGCAGCAGCAGCGGGAGCAGGAGGAGGAGGAGGGGCAAGAGGAGGGGGACGAAGCGCGCCCTCCGCAGCTGCAGAAAAAGCAGCAGCAGCAGCCTTGCAGCCGGGGCCAGCAGCAGGCGCAACTCGACAGTGAGGGCAGTTCGCCGGCGCCGGCCATCGCCACTGAGGCTGTGATCTGCCTCCCATGCGAGGACTCTGCCAGCGTGGGCTTGTGGCCGCTGCATCTCCCATCCTTGTCGCCGGGGCGGCACGGCGGCGCCCGGCCGGCGGTGCGGCTGGAGCAGGCTCGGCCAAAGGAGGCCCCGCAGCATGGCATGTGCATGGCGGTGCAGGCGTTTGGCTGGGCGTCAGGGGTGAGCCGGGGGCTGCGACGGGCGGGGATGCAGTCCTGTTGAATGGCAGGCACGGTGTGCGTACGGCAATTCAGCGCTGCGATTATCAAGGCAGCTGCGTGCTTTGTGACCCACCTGTCTCAACACTTTCGGGCCGATCAACCTACCGCCCCAGGTCAACCGAGCCCTCCGGCCCCTCTGCGCCCGTGTTGGCACCCCCACCTTCCATAGGCGGTCGCCCCCCACGTGCTCGCCGGCTATGAGGATGGCACCGTCGCCCTGTGGGACGCGCGCGCCCCCGCAGCCCCCCTAGCAGAGGCCAAGCTGCACTCAGAGGCGGTCATGAGCCTCGTCGTCGCACCAGCCGAGGGGGAAACACCGCCCCCGGCAACAGGCAGCGGGCCCACACCAGACCCGACCAGCGCGGCCGGTGGGCAGGGCGGCGGCGGGTGGGTTGGGATGAGCGGCTCTGCTGACAGCACGTTGGGTTTCTTCAGGGTGGATGCCGCGGCGGGCCGCCTGGAGTTCCTGGGCTCCCAGACTCTGCCCAGCGCGGGCATCAGCGACATCGCCATCAGGCGCGACGCCCGCGTGGCCGCGACGGCGCACTGGGACGGCCGCGTGCGGCTGTGGCATGCGCGGAAGCGCGCGCCGCTGGGTGTGCTGCGGTACCATTCGAAGGCGGCCGCGGCCGTGGCGCTCGGCGGCGCGCGCGGGGGGCTGCTGGCGACGGGCGGCAGGGACGGCGCGGTGGCGGTGTGGTCGGTGTACGCCACGCCACAGGCGAGAGATGGGTGAACCGCGGTCCGCCTTGACGCCCGGCTGGCATGGCGGCGGCTTTGGCCTGTTTTTTTTGCAAAGTGTGCGGTGTTTTGGGTTGTTGGACAGTCCCACAGTTTGGACACGGACTGCGCGTTTTTGAAGCACGTTGCCTGGGTTTCTGCCTTGTGTTATTTTTCGGTGAGTATTGTGTGGCCTGCACGCGTTGACCAGCATCCAACTCAACCCGCGACCAGCCAGCGAGCCGAAATGCCCTGGCACCTTCCCGTACTGCAGCGCTTGTTTGAACTTGCCGCCGTGTGTGGCTGAAGAGGCTGCGCAGGCATGACCAGCAGCCCGTCCCTGGCTTGCAGGACAAGGCCTTAGCCCCATCACCGTGCTCAATGTGATGCCAAACAATTGCCCAAGGCTTGCTCTGCAGGTGCAGCAGCGCCAGGGCTATGGGGTGTAATTTCTTGTCATTCCTCCGACGAGCACAGTGGTAGAACGTCTCATTGACAGGGGGCTGCCGTCGCAATACAGGCTGCCGCCGCCTTCCGGCAGCTGCACGCTCGGCAACCTCAAAAGCACTGCCAAGCGCGCGGCAGCGCAGCGGCTGCGCTTGCACCTTGTGCAAACCAAGCGCACCGGCACTACAAAATGCTGCCTATTGATGCTGGGACTGTCAGTAATCCTGTGAGCGGCCGCGTGCCACCCACCAAGCTCAATCCCATCGCCGCACGCCCTCAAGAAGCGCACCCAACCTCCTGCGCCGCCACCGCCAGCGCGTCGCCGCCCTGCCCCTCCGCCCCCTCCGCCCCGCCGTCGCCGCCCGACGCGCCCTCAGCGGCCGCGTCCTCTGGGGCCGCAGGGGCCGGGGCCGCGAGCCCCTGCGCCTCCAGGTCTGCCATGGCCTCCCCCAGCAGCCTCTCGCCCTCCTCCTGAGAGGGCGCATACAGGATGTCCTCCACCACGCGCAGCACCTGCAGAGAAGGAGCAGTGTGTGCATGTGTGTGAATGCGTGTGCAGGTTTCTGTGTGTGTGCGCTCATGTGCATGTACGTGCATGTGCCTGCGCTGGCACACGTCTGTGCGTTTGCACAGGTGAAACGAGCTAGGTTGCGAGAGTGCCGAGGGTGAGGGGCAGGGGTGAGGTGTAAGCGAGCTCATCGGCCTTGTCGTGGCGTTTGGCAACAGCAGGGCACTGTTTCTACATGACTGGCACGCAGTCATGTAGATTGGCATCATGCATGGTGGGAGCGACACCGGCGTTGGGTTCCGTGAGGGCGTGTGCGCTTGATTGCGTCCATGCGCCCTCGCGCGAGCGTCGCTTGATGCGTGTGCGTTGACTCATCCATGTGCGCGTGCCGATCCTCACCGCCACGTCGGGGCACGTGTTGCACAGCAGCTCGATGGCCCTCAGCTTGGACCACTGCGCAGCATGGGGGCGGCAGGGCAAAGGAGGTCGGGGGAGGGCAATGGTTGGGCTAGAGGGGTGGGAGGAGTTGCCCTGATGAGCGATGAGAGGCCAGCAGCCGGCAACATGGCAATGGTGAAGCATATATCTGCAGCGCGCATGAGGACCGCCGCGCTTTTACGGATTTGACCAGCGGCCAGGAATGGGACTGTCGACGCACAGCAGCTGCATCCTCGCGGGCGCAGCCATTGGGCGTGCGGCAGCCTGTCGCATGAGCGCAGAAAGCGCGAATTGCGCTGCTCACGTAAAAGTCCTTCTCCTTGGTGGCCGTGTCGGCCGTCAAGCGCCACGTGGCCACCTCCGCATGCAGCTGCTCAACCGCCCCGTCGTCCGACGGCCCGCGCGAGCGCACACCGCCGCCGCCGCCACCGCCGCTGGCGGCAGCCTTCAAGCTGCCGCTGCCGGCTGTGAAGAGCTTCTGGCTCGGGGCACGCTTCCCCGGCGGCTGCGCACCCCCCACGGCCGCAGCCGCCGCCGCACCCGCGCCGGTGCCACCTCCAGGGAGGCGGCCAGCATAGCTCGCTGCGCCGTGGTGCGGCGTCGCAGAGGCCGCGGGCGACGGCGCCGTCGGGGTAGTGCCGGCGGTGGTGCGGCTCACGAGCGCAGAGGCGGCGCCGCTGCCGCGAACATCCCCGGTCTTGCAGAGCGCTCTGCGGGCTGCGCCGTCGTAATCGTTGATGCCGCGGCCCCCGGTCTGCTGGTCAAAGTAAGTCTTGAGCCACTGCGGTGTGGGTCAAAAGAACACGAGCGAGGGGGCGGAGCGGTGCTTTGGCACATGGAGCAGCAGGCTGCCCTTGAAAGTGGGGGCGCCTGAGGCGTGCGCTTATTTTCTGCCGCGCGCAAAACCGGGTGCTGCTACATGGCATGCACGCAAGAGTGATGTTCTGGCCCAATCAAACGGACGTGCATCATCAAGCAACGAGCAGCAACAGTCAGACGACAACAAGCTCTGACAACACACCCACACCCACACCCGCACAAACACACCTGCATGAACTCCATGTTATCGAGCGGCCGCCCCTTGATCAACTTGGACACCTCCACGTGCTGCATGCGCACAGCGGAAAACACCGCACGCGCACAGGGATGGGGGAGACCGGGGCCGTCACGAGTCGCGCACGACGCAGGATTCCCACCCTTCCCCTGTCAAAGTCAGCTGCCCTTCAAGCTGCCAGATCACGCAGGCCGCGCGGGCGAGGCACTTGCTCTGCATGTCCTGCAGTGGGCCCCTCAGCCACCGCACCTTCTCTATCCCCTGCTTTGTGAAGACCTCCTGCAGCACCTTGTAGTTGTTGATGTACTCGTACTCATTCTTGGCGTTGTAGTCCACCTGCCATTATTGTCAGCAGCGCTTGCCGTCACGGCGGGTGGAGCGCGCCTCGGAGGCGTTGTAGGAACAGAGGGCTGGCCTGGTAGTGTCCAGGCTGGGCCGGCGTACATATGCTGCCACAGCTGCCGAGCACCGCAGCTACCACTGGCACTGTGCTGATGCGGGCTACCTGACTGCATGTATGCCTGCTAGTCCATGTGAGCAGTCACTAATTGGGTTGCAGTCGTCTCCTCATCTGAGGCGGTCCAACCCCTGGAGGTGCGGCTGCCGCAATGCACGTGCGTACCTTCTTCATGGGCACGGCGCCTGGATGCAGCGCGTCCATTATCTGGCATGCAACGGCTCCGGATGCGGTCTGGCATGCAGACGAGAGGGAGTGCCAGGCTGCAGCATAAGTTCTGCGAGCCGCAGCAATGCGGCGGCGCATGCGGCAGTGCGTGACGATGCAGTGCGCGACGACGCAGTGCGTCAGGCCAAGGGTGCATCCCCGTCTTCTACGTTATATCACCAACCTCCTCCACTTTTCCGAGTCGCAGGTCCAGCGTTGAGTTGAGCCATCCCAACAACTCCGTTCGCCCCGCCATTATCTTGCTTGACTCGAGATCACCGTGTGTATATGGCAAATAAGTTCTCGAATATACACGGAGCTTATGTGGCTGTGACAAGAGCGGCCACGGGCGGCAACTAACAGCGACAGCTGGACCACTGCCGTTCAAACAGCCTTTAGTCGTTCCGTTTGGATGTTCATGAATTGAAGACCTTGACGAGCAATGGATTTTATACGACACTAGTCAAAAGACAGAAGCAGCTGCTGCAAGCTTCGTTGTGCCGCAAGACCCCATCGCAGCCAAACCCCTCTCCCCCTCTCCAGTCATCCAGGGCAAGACCCGCAAGCCCTTGACCACCGATGCACGTGCTGCATCCCATTTTCTATGCCTGGTGGGCCAGCGATGCCATGGATTGCATCAAATTTACATAGGTTGATGATGATCTTGTGCTGTTAGGTGTGTGACGCATCAATCACCATGTCCTTGCGGCGCGCGTCAGCATCCGCAGAGTGGCGGAGCCAGGATCGGGGGTAACGCCACAGCCCGGCTAGTGAAGGCGACGTGATCTTTGTTGAGAGATGGTCACACACAGTCGTATGGGGCTGGCAGCAAGGGGGATGCGTGACAGCTGGACGACGCCTTGAGGGGTGTCGCGCGGGGCCCTGCACTGTCCTGCAAGGCACCCCGACCCGGATGCATGTGTCTGCCCGCCTGCCCTGCCCTTTTGCCTGCCCACGTTGAAGTGTCCCAGCTTCTAGGGTGAAGCCTCCTTCCTAAAAACAGTGCACACGTTGACTGACGGATGACTCAGCACGAAAAGGGGGTGTGCGCACGTGCAGACGGGCACGCCTACGTGGGCGCCCGCCGGTGCTGTTGCTGCTGCTGCTGTTGCTGCTGCTGCTGCTGCTGCGGCTGCTGCTGCTGCGGCTGTTGCTGCTGCCGTTGGGCTCCTCCTCCGCCCCCGCCGCCGCCGCCACCTGCACCCCCGCGGCCGCCGAGCAGCAGCTGCTGCACCACCACGCCGCCGCCTGCCCCGCCGATGAGCACTTGCGGCTGCCCGTCACCACCACCGCCGACGCCTGGCGGCGCGACGCCGCGCACGCCCTCCGCATTGTTGTCCAGCGCCATCCGCCACGCCGGGTGCTGCTCCAGCGCAGCCGCGTCCACCATCATCCCCTCCTCCTCCCCGGCCGCCTCCGCCGCCGCGGCCGCCTCCGCCGCCTCCGCCGCCGCCGCGTCGGCCGCAGCCTGCAGGTCCTCCACCAGGCCCGCCCTCAACTGCGGCACCATGCGGGACATCATCTGGGAGTAGCCGTCCGCGCCAAACCTGGCCACCAGGTCGGCGTAGTGCTGCAGCGTGAAGAGGACGCAGCGCTTGGCCAGGTTGGGGGCGCTGAAGGCCTCTGACAGGCCATACGCGTCCTCCAGGTTGTCCACAGACAGCATCTGAGGGCGGCGGCCAAGAGATGGGGCGGGGGCGGTTGTTGGTCAAGGCGAGGGTCGGGCTGGGGGGTGCCCCGTGCGTGTGCGCGTGTGAGGGGCGAGTGCACGCTTGGTTCTGTGTGTTTACTGTGCATGAGGCCCATCTGTGGCGCGCATGTGATCCGCTCGAAGCCTGTGGCGGACAGCTTCGGCACGTGGCGGACAAAGGCCCAGCCGGATGGCGCGCAGCGTGCCCCAGCGCATGCGCACCTGCGATATGGCGCCTTCGCAGAGCCGCTTGAGCCCCTCTAGCAGGTACTGGTCTGCTGCCTGCAGCAGGTCTCGCGCCTTGGCGGGAGGGACGGTGGCCTGGGGGG